GCAAAGCAGGGGAAAATATGCTCAAATATGCATATGTGGGAGTTAGCTTGGATCATTTAGGGGCTTTTAAAACATAGACTGGCGCAGGATACTCATAAACAAGCTAAATTAAAATGCAAAGCTGGAGTAAAGAGCTGCCTGTTTTCTAAGTTATTTTAGACGTGAGATATTTCAACGTGTTACTTGGAACGACTACCGAAAGTCTTAAACAACTACAGTAGAGAGGAGCTTTTCTGCTCCGTGTTCACACATTATGAGCACCATTCACTTTAATTTACCTGTCATAATTTCCCACCTTTAATGTGTGCTCCTGTCTTGACTGTTTCCCCCTATATTTGATCTGTTCTTATTTAAATTTTCTGGTTAACTTCCTCTTCTGTAAGATTACCAGACTTCTCTTTTGTCTTTAACTTGAAAAGTTTCTTTCTCACAGATTTTTCTTGTCTTATTTCACATTACCTTATTGTAAACCAGTGATGTGTAGCTCTTCTCTCTCCTGCCTTCAGGGAAATAATCATAAAGAGAAACCTTCCCTTCCCCACACTCCTGTCCTTTAATTTAGCTTTCTCTGCTTCTTTGCAGTTTGTTCCTATTGAGAGAATGTTAAAGGCCCATATTGCTTCCATGCTCGCTGGTAGGTTGCAGCTGCAAGCGACACTGTAGTCCTTTTAAGTGTTTTGTATGTGGTCGATTCTCAAAGTTCAGTTTTGCGATTGGTGTTGATCAGCTAAATGGGTTGCACGCAGTAAAACTAGTGGGTGGCTTGCTTCTCTGTATTTGGAGTTTAGAGCTCGATGTCGGGGCTGTTGCTCATTGAGTTGGGTGAGAACGCTTATGTGGAGTGTTTAGCAATGAAGTGCGTGGGGGCTGAGCATCTACAATAAAGAGTTTGCTTCCATTATTTATAACACACAATATGACCTACTTTGCTGCACAGCAGCAACCACTGCTCCATCTCAGTTTCTATCTATCTATCTATCTATCTATCTATCTATCTATCTATCTATCTATCTATCTATCTATCTATCTATCTATCTATCTATCTATCTATCTATCTTCTTGACATAAACTAATAAATTTCAATTAAAAAAATATATAGTAAAACCGATAATGTCAGAACTAAGCGAGGAAATGAAAGGGGAATGTCGCCTGAGTGACAAATGGTAATGTGTATTTTTCCGTGGCTCGTCACTTTTTCCTTCTGTTTGTAGAAGAAAAATGTCTGGCTGATGTTTGAGTCTGTTGTTTTGACCGCAGCTGTGATTTATATCCTGCGCTGCTTGATAGTTTTGTCTTCAAAACAAATAAAACGAGAAAAGCTACAGAAGTCACAATCTTTTGTCCCCTACACCGAATCAAGCCTTTGAACCCAAATGCCTGGTTTAAAGTGTGTATTTCTCCATTTACATTGTTTTTTTTTTGTGACTGATTTGTAGTCGTAGCCTGTCTCTTTCTTTTAAGGAAACACTTTTAAACTTCCAACACGATTGACAAAAGATTCAAAGTATGGAAATGAAAGCTGAAGGATATGAGTGAACTATAAAGTTTCTGTCGTTTTAAGTGACGTCTTCACAACCCTGAACTGAATCTTGCCAAGGATAATAATAAAATTCCCAGGAGTTCAATGTGAGGTGTGGGATTGTCGGAGGGGCTAAATCCCTCACAGATAACAAGGGTTTAGTGCCGTATTAAAACGGAGGCATTCACCTTCCCTTCTAAACTTTATCTGAAGATACTTTTGGAGCTTGTTTCCTTCATATCAAATCAAAAAGCTGCTTCACTCACTGGAAAGGAGCAAGTAGCAAATCCAGATTCTGGGTGCAGTCAGTGGAGCATTTCCAGTAACCCAGACTCAGATACTGAAGGCATCTTGATTTTGTTCGTATTAATGTTACCATTACACCCTCCTGTGACACAAGGTGCAATGACCTTTTGTCACAAGACAATAAAAACGTCTGCAGTATCAAAAATAGATAAGTTCACCGTCCAAATTCATAATTGAGAGAAAAAAAACACCTTCTATTTGTCGTTACGTTTTAGATGTTAAATACTTCATACGATACATGTATTGTAACTATATATGAGACGTAAGCTTTTCTGAAATCAGTAAATATTCGTGTTGGAAACATAGTTAATGGTTTGTGCTTGTAAGACTAGTTGGCGTTACGAAGCTCCACAGTTAAACATGAAATGATCAAAAATACATGTGATAATTTCAACTTCTCTGCTTTATCTTGTCAATCTAGCCCTGAATCTTCACGTCATTTTTTGATTTAGTTATTCCCAATCTAAGTCCGTGAGTAAATAGGTCCATCTATCTCTGTAATGAGCAGTCATCGTGGTCGTCCTTGTGGACACGTTTTACTGGCGATTCTGAAGCTTGTCTGCGAAGCCAAATGATTGATCATGAAGGTTACAATAGTATTAATCATGCAAACAACGGCTTGCTGCCATGTAATGCATCACTGCCAAACCTCTACCCGCCTCAACACATATGTTCACTCTCCAACTCGTGTGGCCAGACAGGCGCAATGTGACCCCTGAAGCTCCACCGGTGTGCGAAACGTCTGCTGGTTGACAGTCGACATTTCGCAGCAGGTCCAGATTAACTGAACCACCAGGTCTTTGCAGAGCTTGTCCTCCCTCCTGCTGACCGGTGAGACATTTTCACATTTGCAACCATGTGCCTGAGTTCTTCACCTTTGCTGTTTTCCGCTATAACGAGAACACACTGGCTCATTTAAAAAAAATAAAAACAACAACAAAAAAAAGAAAGAAATGTTGTGCATTGAAAAATAAGACTTGTAGATATAATCTGCTGACAGGTTTATTTTGAACTTACAACAGTGTGACTGAGCAGAAATTGAGATTTCATAAAAAAAAAAAAAATACAACCTTTGTTTTCTAATTACGTGTCCCTGGTAGGATTCATTTATCACCTATGCGGCAGTTTCGCCTGTAACCTTATACTTCTGCTGCTATTTGAACTATTTGGTCCAGGCGAGCCAATTTTCAAATAACTCTCTGGTTATCATTTTTGCACTGCACCTCTTAGCGCAGTGCCTTGCAAAAGTGTTTATACCCCTTGAACATTTTCATATCATGTTCATGTTCCAAACACTACCTCTAATCAAATAAGTTAACATTAATAGCATAGGTGTAGATATCTATAGTTCAGGTAGGAATGTCTGTCCATTCAGCAACTTTTATGTATTTCACAAATCCTGCTGCTTGGGAAGAGAAACTTGAAGATGGCAGTTATATGCATAAAGGTCAATATTAGTAAAACCTGATGTGGGTGGCAGAATATTCTAGAATAGGATAAAAGTTTGTCTTCTGGCTCGAATCCAATTAAGAATCTGTTGGGGAAATGGTGTGTTCACAAACACTGTCTTCCCATCTGACCTAACTAGAAAAATGGGCAAACACAAAAAAGCTGGCAGACACACAGAACCCCTCCCCCCCCCATCCCCGCAGCTCTAATTGGAGCCAATGTTACACAAAAACATAATGCAGCAGGGTAAACATAAATGAATGCAACGGTTTTAAGATTTTTATTGACAAGATGTGAAAACCATTTATTATTTATTATTTCCTTCTCACTTCATAATCGTTTTCTGCTTTGTGTTGGTTTATTGCATGAAAAAAATCCAATCTGAAGCACTGAGTAAGGAACTGCACACAACATAGCACGTAAATGAAAGTTGATGTGCAGAAACACACTTACAGCATCAAGCCAGTTTGTCACGTTAGTTCAGAATAATCTTACAGAACGCCAACCTGATCAACCGAGGGTTTTGGTACAGGATTTGAATTCGTAACCTAGGTTGTGTTTTTTTAATTCTTAAAAAAAAAAAAAAAACCTAATAATTTTTATCCCTGTGAGGGTAAGTTGGTCTAAATTTGAGAATAAAAGGTGCAGGCTTGTATTTGGACCCAATAATATGACAGTAAACAGATTTATCTGTCCCCGGCCTGAGTTGGATCACAGATGCACAGTCACCTCCAGCAGGAAGCAGAATTGGGCTGTCAGTCGAACAGACAACCGTGAAAGGGCACACAGCCCTGAAGGATATATTAATAAATAAAATACAGCTCAGGGCTAAACACACTCTCTCTCATACACACTCATACACACTCACACACGCACACACACACACACACACACACACACACACCCATGCACATGCCCACACACAGAGCGCAAAGTCTGCCAAAACTCAGACGGTCCAACATCCTCTAAACTAGCTGATGTGCATCAGCCGCTCTATAATGGACAAACACATTTCGCCTCCTTTAAAAGCGATTGGAGTTGGTTTATGATTCAGCCCCGTTCGCTTGTTCCGGAGGCGCTGCTAGGGATGGACGAGCAGCGGCGAAGGCTAAAGATGAAGAACTTAAGATCCACTTCATCAGCATTCATTAATCAGAACACTTAGCCCAGTAAATATAGAATTTGTTTGGGATTAGTTTTAGATGCAAACTTTAAATGAAATGGTACCATTACCCTAATTACATTTTTATAAATGACCCGGTTTACAGTATCTCGTAGCGTTGATGGATTGGCGGGTCGAGTGTATTGTTTCTTTCACTCTTTCACTGTCATGATTGTGATCTAGTGTTCTGCTCTGTTGTTCTGACACGTTCTCCAGTCTCGTGTCCTTTCTATTTTCACCGTTGCCTCTCATTATTTTGTCCTTTTCTCTGTCCCCTTGACTTGTGGCTGAGAAATAAAATCGCAAGATACAAATCTTCTCATTTCTAAGACTCCAATAATAGCATAATTCTGTGTATATCTCTGTGGTGTGTGTGTGTGTGAGGCTCTAAATAAACAACGCATTTCTCAATAAGCCTCAAATGCTGATAATTATTTTTGCACTTAATGTTGTTGCTGATGTGGATTAAGGCAGATTTTTGAGGGGGCTGATGTGCAATTAATCCATCCCTATGTTAACTGCTGATCTTTGCATCCTTGCTTGTGTTTCATTTTTATTCTGCAGGAGGTGTTCACACCAGAGTGCAGGTTTAAGGAGTCGGTTTTTGAAAACTACTATGTGATCTACTCGTCCACTGTGTACCGGCAGCAAGAGTCGGGTAGGGCATGGTTCCTCGGCCTCACAAAGGAGGGACAAGTCATGAAAGGCAATCGAGTCAAGAAAACTAAGCCCTCGTCTCACTTTGTTCCCAGGCCTATTGAAGGTATGGAAGTGTTTAAAGCAAGCTTTTAAATATTTAGCTTGTTCTCTTTTTTTTTTTTTTTTTTGCTCAGTCTTAAACTACAGCATCTGTTTGACTGGGCTATTCTAAATGTTTTTGGGGGTTTATAGGAGTATTGGTTCTTCCAGAATGAGTAATTTCTCTATTTGCATTCGCACTGCAAACAGGATACTAGAGCAACACAATGTAAGCCTGGGAGTTGTTACACCAAGGAACAAGGCATAATCATATTTTTCTTACTTCTGGTTAAAAAATGTTTACATGTCCGACTTTATGTTATGTTATAAATTCTATTCCATTGCTTATTGTAACAAATTTTACTAGTTTAAAAATCTTAGAATGTAGCCTTAACATTACATGTAAACACTGTATTGAAAACAAACAAACAAACAAAAAAAACACAGATTTAAGAATCACTTGAAGACAGAATGGCCATGTTACCTGTTTCGACACAGTTTGGCTAAGTGGTATCAGCTGCATGTGTTTCTCTCAGGAGATCAGTCTTATCATGAGAACCTGTCAAGCTGTGTGATAAAAAAAAAAAAAAAAAAAAAAAAGGCTGACAGTGTGTCCTCGTTCCCTTGACTTTTCCCTCTCAGCCTGGTATAATTGTCCCAACCTCACACCTGACCTTGTCTGTGTCTGCATGCCCATCTCTTCAATCTGCTCTCCGCCGTCCCCTTCTGATCACCTCCTATCTTTGTCCTTTTTCTTTCCTCCCTTTTGTTTGCACTTCTGCCACAGTTTGTATGTACCGGGAGCCGTCGCTGCATGAGATAGAGGACAAGCACCGCTCCAGGAAGAGCTCAGGGACTCCCACCATGAATGGGGGGAAAGCTGTCAATCAAGACTCCACATAGCACCAGTTACAGGGACTTCCAGCTGGGGGTAGGAGGGGGGAGGGTCGGCCTCGTCCTGACTCAGGGAGAAGGGGCCAAGTCGGAAAAAATAAACCTCACCGCTCCCCCTGAGAGATCTGGACCTCCATACTCTTTTTAAACAAAAGAAGGCGTGAGACAGCTGCAAGGAGCTATTACTGTACAACCAAGACAACAAAAACAAAACTGAACTCTTGCCTGTGAAAATGTTTTAGATATCTATATATATATATATTTAAATATATATATTCTTGACCAACATTTTATGCAAAACTGAGAAAAAGGCTGTGAAAACAAAGGATTTGTGGTCTCTACATATATTCAAATATCTGTTATTTTTTTATGTTGTGAAAAACAAGCTTTAATACATGTTCAGTTTTCATTCTTTTTTTCCTAAACATTTGTTGCACTTTTATTCTTTATTGTGTTGTTGTTGTTGTTGTTGTTGTTGTTGTTGTAAAAGATATCCCAAGCCATTAGCATTATAACCGTCATGACTATTTTACCGAGTGGGGTCCCGGTTACTATGAGGGTAATAGCGGTTCAGTTCTCTTGACCTTTTTATTCATGAGTATTTTTTTTTCTTACTAGAGCATCTTGAATGCAAGGTCAAAGGTCAAGGCTGAAAGTTACAAATGGTGGGATGTATTTAACTCAGGTGTGTACTGCAAGTTAGACCAATGTGACTCCTGGGGAATGAACTTCCCGGTTTTCCTGCTGTAGCAGGACGGAACTACATCAAGCAATATCATAAAGGGCAATCTAGAATGTTTTTAAAGGACTGTAACAGCGGACTGACAACACATTGCTGTGGCTGGTGTACTAGTCTGTACAAATGACTGACAAAGAAAGTTGCATAAGTTGGTAAGCGTAAGAATAGGGATTTGTCATCTTGCTACAGTTATGACATGGTAAGAAAGACGGGTAGTGTTTGTGCAAAGTCATGTGCGGACTTTACAACAAAGTAGATTTCTCCTGCAGCGGACCGGCGAATCGTCCATGGTGGACTCCGCCTCTCGCCCGTTGACCGCTGGAGATAGGCACCAGCACCCCTTGCGACCGTACAAAGATGAGCGTGTTAGATAATGGACAAATGGACGGATAGATTTCTCTCCGTCCATTTGTTACCCCAGGCCAGTAACAAACCTTATCAGTTATCAAGAGATGCTGTTAGCTATAACAAATCACAAAAATATCACTCCATGTACTGCTTTAGAGCTACTGGACAAATCAAGAAGTTTTCTCTGACTGAAGATTTTATCTTGTTTGCTTAGGGTGAAAGAAAAGCAACATTTTGTTTAGCAGGCTTAGGTGGTGAATTTCTTAACTTCCAAGAATTTTAAGTTCCAGAACTCCCTTTACGTTCATTGTGAAATCACTAGGGATCTTTTAATGCAGACAGAAAGGGTGCCTGACTGTTTAATAAACCACCAGTCTGTCATGCAAATATTTTAACACAATTATTTTTACTGCTTTTCAATCACCATGAAAACCGAAGGTTTGACTGAGCAACCGAACACGAAATGAGCCATCTGTTGCATTAGGACGAAGAGTTTATTTTTCATACATCTACACACTTACAGGGCTGTGAATCTGACTGGTACACCTCATACTGTGTACGCTACTACGCTCATTCCTAGCCTCCTTTTTTAGTTGATCTATCTCAGGAAGTCTCGCAGTTGTTTCGGTGATGGAGCCTGACGTAAAAAAATAAAATAAAATGAAATAATGGCTGCCTATGGTTCAGCTCTCATTGCACAAAGCCGGACGATTTGGCGTGGAGGTGGATGATGATGCGCAGCTGAACGTAGTCATGTTAGGAACGCTGGAAGAAGAAAACGGACAAATACAAAGCATGACCATCACATGACTGTAAACGTTTCTTTAAGTTTGAGGTGAGATCTAAAAATATATATCTATATATTTTGACTTTGGGGAGTATATGTCTAAATAAACATTTTATATGCAACACTTGTTTCAGTATTTTAGTGAGGGTTTATACATTCATATATATATATATATATATATATATATATATATATATATATATATATATATGCTACTGTACATGTGGGAGGAAGCTGTTGGTTGCCATGTTGGTAGTTTGTACAGTTAATAGCACACATTCAACTGCACAGAGCAAGTGGCGGCAGTGGGCATGTCATCGTCATGGATCTGGGAGGGTCTTCCACTTGAAATCCAGGCCCACATCTGACACCAACAAGAGCTAATGGTAGATTAGTTCAACTTCCACTTCACCTCCTGCAATACTGCATTACTGTGAATCGTACATTATGATTAATGTGACACTGAAAGTCAAAAGGCAAGACCAGCATATAAGTATCTTTTTACAGACGTTTATATTGTGTATATGAGATATGTGTGTGGAGTTAAAGTAGTGCATGAAACTGGATATGTACATTGTCAGCCGACAGCAGAATGGGCCGATTTGGTGAAAGAATTGGAGTGAGTAAGGCGGTCAGAAACAGCAAAGCACTTTTTTCTTTTTGTGGGTTTATTGATGTGTGATAGGGGGACAAAGGCATTGAAATAGTTTGAAATATTGAAAATATGATTTAATATTTTTATGTTTGGAGATGATTTCACTGCATTCAAACATACTCATGTATGCATTATGAATTGTGAGATTTAAAAAAAAAATATGCATTGATTCTAAAATTCAGAATGGAGTTAGTGATTGTTTAAGAATAAAGATTATGTTATCAAAAAAAATACCCTCTGAGTGATTGATTCAGCAAGTTATTGATTAATCTTCTTTTTACCGTTTCTCTCTTTCAAATGTTGCCAGGTTCAAAGACACCGTGCCCCCTCCCTCTCCTGCAGGAGAACTGACATTAGATGCACGACTTTGCATTACTTTTCAGTGTTAAATTGGGACACCAGCTAGCATTGCAAGACATTATTGTCTATGAAAAGAAGACAAAGCACCCAATCTCACACTTCAAAACTAATACAGAAACAGACAAACCAAGGTGAGAATAACACTTGACTGGCAGTTTAATTCCACACGCATTTCACTCGTCTGCACTTCAGCCAAGTGCGGATGGTGAAGATCCATCTTTAAGACACCGTTTTATCACAAATCATTCACTGACCTTGCTCAGGCTGGGAAAACATCACCACACCGACAGAGTAACACAACGGCCAACCAGCCGGATAATCGCACCAGTCAAAAGCGCGCTGTAGTTCCTCCATCACATGTATGTTTCACAAACCCTTGGCTTGACTTTTGATTTGTTTCCTTCTGGTTTAAAGATGATTATGTGGAAAAATGCTGTTGTAAGGGTTAAAATCAACGGATTTGACACTGTAATTACTGAACACTGTTGCACAATAAGGTGCTTTAATTGACAGAGAAGAAACAATGTTCTTTTCCGGTTTGGAAAATTAAAGAAAAGCGGTATGAAAGCTAAATTCCAGTAACAATCAAAGAAGAAATTAGAGCAATATTAGCCCATTATTTAGATATATCTATGTGTTCAAAAGACCCTTATATATAGTTTAAGTTTGGTGTTGAGTATTACTCTTTGTATTATGTGTTTTCTGTTCAGCATTACTTTTGTCCCTTAAGGCATACCGCAGTTAGGGCAGTGCTGACGTCAACACCGTGCCGTAGCCAACGTTGCTGATATCTGGTGGGGAAGTTGGGTAACCGAACCACTGTGCTAACACGTGGGAAAGACTTGCAAGATATGTGTGTTCTCCTTATAAGTGTGCGCCATTGATGAGTAAGTTGCAATATTTGAGTGTTTACTGCAGCTAAATGAGTGATTTGAAGTTTATTTGTTTGCTATTATTTCATGCTAAGTCCGAGCTATTTGCTATGTGTGTATTATAGAGCATTGTGTTGAAAATACACATCTATTCTCAGTGGAGCAGAGGCATGGTTATTAGTTAACTGTGGAGTTAACTTGCCTTAGTTTACTTATAAATATTGATTTAGAGGTTTCCTTCTTAGTTTATCTAAGGTATAATGGCATGGTGTGATGTGTAATGATAGGACACCTTGAACTTATTTTCTGCATTTTTGTTTATTCTAGGAAACCACACACACCATCATGTAGACACACATTTATGCCCATCCAGGTTCATTGGATCAATATCTGTGATACAGTTTGGAATACAGAACAGTTAAAGGATCCCGCCTCGTGTCTTCATTAAGCATCTGGTGCACCTCATCCTAACGTCTGGTCCTGAGCTGAATCCTGGCCTGAGTGGTGTTCTGGCCGACACTCCAGGTTGAGAGCGGTGACAAACCTGAACAGTGCCTAACAGTCCTTCAACTTTAGAACAAACTCACTTGCACTAAACATTAGTCAAAACTTTCCTTTAAATAACCGAACTATAAATCACCACACAGAGACGTTTTTATTGTTTTCCTTGTGCTTGTGACGCCACGCATTAAACTATTTTCTTTTAAACACAGAGATTTTATTTCACAGAGCAGCTCCACTGATTGCGCCGATTAAAAAAAAAAACATCTCAACAAATACAATTTGCGACCCGTATCACTCACAAGAAAGGATTTATCTTCTCACCAACCCCAAAATCCAATGTGTCATTTTAGGATGGCGCTCCTTCCCCCCTTAATACTCTGTTGTCATGGAAACAGACCTTTCGTGTCTTCTGCAAGGAGAATACGGAGGAGGAGGAGGATGAATGCTCCCCTGGCTTTTCGGACGTCTCTTGTATTCTCTCCTGCATGTTGGCTGCAGTGCAGAAACAGCAGGAGTGTGTGCGTGTGTGTGTTGTAGGGAGGTTGATGTGTTCTTTTCTATTTTGGAGTTTCCCTCGGTCACAGCAAAGAGCAAAGACGAGTACAAGCCTGCATACAGAAAGACAATGTCTGCTCTCAATGAGAAAGAGACTAAGTGAACAAGAAGCCTAACAAGAGTAAGTTTGAAAGAAACTGCTGAAGCGATCGATTTTTTTTTCTGTTTGATTTATAAATGTTGTTTAGCTTTTTTACCCCCTTTAATATGCTTTAATTTACAATTTGTTTGTATTATGCTTCTTCATATCCAGTACTTGCTACTCCTATTTAGGCAGTAATTTAGAACACAACACTGACTGCTGCTTTTCTTCTGTTTCAAACAAACGTGATATAGTCAGTGATTAATGCAACAAAAAACTATTTTGTACTCTATGATCTGTGAAAAAAATTAATTGCAAAGTGTAATGATAAAATAATGTCTTATTTATCTGCCAAAATCTCTGGAGTGACAAACGATGCTCCTCTCTATGGCAATCTATAGGTCAGACAGTTGTCAGGATAACAAGACTTGCCTAATTAGCACTTGCATAATTTTGGCATAACAAGACATTTTTGGACCGTTTCTTGCGAAAAAGATTCTGGAGCAGTTTTAGAAAACGCTTCCTTCCTCGTGCAACGAGTTGGTTTGTCAAAATGTGAAAGATACTTTCAGAAACTACACATACTACAATCAAAGCTCAGATAATTCTGTTTTTGTACTGTCATCTTCAATTTAGTTTATTTTTACAGCTCCAACTTACAAGTTTTATCAATACATCTGTCCAGAACTGTAAATGATTTTATTAGTATAATAAGCCAAGTTGAGAGAAATAGTTCAATTTCTGGAGACAGTTTACATCAATGCAGACAATTTTACAAGGTCTGTGAAAAATGTATGTGAAATATTTTAATTTCTGTTTCAAGTCACATCATCTTTAAGTGGTTGATTCATCTTCTTGCCATTCAGTGTCAGAGTGTTTTTCTTGTTTTGTTTGTTTTGCACCACTGCTAGAAACTGTGAGCATCCGATGGAAGGTTTGAAGCTTTATATATCTGTCATATAAGTGACAAAACGTTCAGAATATTAAATGACAAACAATCTATTTGGAAAATATCCCCGCTCATATTGAAATGTCCCTTTTTGTGGTTCTATAAAAGTTTATATTCAACTTGTTCTTGTAAAGCAACTGTGCTAACATGGCAGATTTGTAGAATAAGTATTTTGGGACTCCAAAGGTCAACGCTGGCACATTTTACAGCTTCTCTGTGACAGTAAAATCTCGTCTCCAGAAAGCTGTCGCGTTTACTGCTTCAGAGGTTAGATTTTATGTGTGAATGGTATTAGTTCACAAGGTAATTATCTTGCTTATTTCTTGCTGTGTCCAACATCATAATACAAATTGCCAATTACCCTTCCTAGAAAATGAAGACCGATACAATGACAAGAAATCCCTGTTCAGTTTCTTAACACGTGTTTGTTTGTCTTCTAAAGCCTCGTGAGTGTGCAGCAGAAACCCCCCCAAAAAACATTCATTTCCCATCTCTGGCTTTCTTCTTTTGAGCTTTTTGTTTTGAAATGTGCCTGTCTGTGCCTCTGGGATCCCACTTGTCTCTTTCTTTCTTTCTTTTTCCTCACACTACTTGGATCTGAATGAGGGAACTCCTACTTAGAAGTAGGGCGTTCAGTGCTGCTCATTAAAAATAATTAGCCTGTGTTCAATTAAGACTCAGTTATGCTCCTTTGATGTAGCTGGGTCGTTATTTCCCATCCAAATGCCTGAGAGTGATAATAAACGTCTGAATGAAATGAGCTTTCACTTTTAATAGGGCTGAATCTAAACCTGCTGGCTCCGCTGGTTCACTTTATTCAGACCGTAGAGAAGCCTCTACTACACCCACACAGATTTCTCAACCTCTCCACAACATAACAAGCTCTGTGTTTTTCACACTTATGTGCTATTAATTCGTTAAACGAGCTCTCCAGCATGTGCTGGAAGTGGTTCCTGTAGCATGAAAAGTGTCCTGTTGAACCCCTGTAGCCTCAGGAAAGAAAGGATGCCAAGCTAAGCTTTGACTGCGGTTTTGCTCCAACACGGTTCCTTTAATAATTTCCTCTCTCATCTCCTCGCTTATCCTCTTTATGCCTGTCATCCCGTCCCTTCCTCTGCTTTCTCACTCTGCTAATCTTTATTCCCGGTCCACATTCACAATACATCAAACTTGCCTTCAGTTTAAACATGTTGCATCTATTCTGCTTCTGACTTTTTCCCTTAAATGTTCTCTCAGTAATTTATCTTTTTTATGTTAATGATTTTATTTTATTTTTTTTTTGCAGTTCCCTGCAAATTTGTCTTCATTTTACATGCGTACGCAGCTCAGACACAGCACACATCAGGACATTTTTCAAAAGAAATGTCCTAACGCGTATTATTTTCTGCTGAGCTTCATGCTTATTTATTGTTAAGTGCAAGAATTATTGATGCTACAGGGCAATTTAATGCAGGCAAGAATATACAACAAAAAACGGAATGCATGAGCAATATGTATGAGGATGTACATGATGTATATGATGCCATGTTTAGATGTGGTTGGTAATTTTATAACAAATCATAAATACTCAGGGGGATGAGAAGAATTGATTTGCTAAAATTAACTGAATGACATTGAGGCCTAAAAAAAACAAATTCAAAGCAGCTGCTTCTTGATTTGATAAACATCTATGTGGAAAAAGGTCAGATAAACGATACTGATTAGTGACCACATGAATGAGAATGTTGGACCCTTGAAAAAATCCTCCAAAATTCACATAGATTTTTACTGTTGTGCAACCTGGCTCAAACGTACAGCATGTGTAGTCATGAACTTTCCACTCCCATCATGCATTGCGTCGCACTTAAAGAGGCATTATCATGTCAGAAATCTATTTAAAAAATGAAGTAGTTTTAGCACATATTCGGG